TTATAATAAATTAATGGCACATTATCAAAAGGAGATTAGCCATGCCATTTCACATTCTGTTTATGTTTGACATAGACACCCAAAATTCAGTAGAGGTTTCCATGTTTAAAATGTATTCTGGTTCAAAAACATAGGCTAGGCTTTGAACTGAACTCTCAATTGCATATTCTTAATTTAAGGCCTTTATAGCCGACTTTACGGTGTGGGTTTTTCTCATTGTTGAATGCCATTACGGTTGTCTATAATTGCTTACATCCACTTCATTTGAATTTTGGTGGATAGTTGTCTCATTGGTAATCATACCACATCTTCTTATTTTCATAATTTAATCAGGCTGACCTTGATCAGATGCTGATTCAGGATTTTGAAAAAAATGGGGGATAAAGGGCCTCAAAATAAGACAAAACTTGGAGTGGAACAGATAAAAAAAGTCTGAATAAACCATAAATTTAGCTCTAAAAGGGGTCAGCCCCCCCGTCCTCCCCCGTAAATCTGCCTCTGTTGACTGCAGTACTTGATTTTCATGAATGGTGATAATATCAATGTGGCTGGTAAAAAATTTAAATAATCTGCCTTTTCATTGTATAATTTCTAAAATTTACCAGATTTTGACTAGGACCCTTGTCCATATATTGACTTTTAAGATTTGACTTTAAAAAACAATAAAAGTTAAGTATTTTTATTTCCTGTGTCTATGATACTTGTTTGAATTTCAACATGTATAAAAGTCTGTGACTCTGACAATCTCTATTATCACACAACATACAAAGTAGATTTTTTTTTAAGTCAGCTTCTCTGTGTTACAGTTTCATGTAATATGTCCATTCTGGAAGAAAAAAATAAATTGTGTAAATTGGTCTCTTGTGAAGCACATCTTCTTTTTATAACAGATCAATTCTGAGTCAATATTTTTACATGTTAATAAGGATCCAGCCATAGATCATGACCCTCATGTGCTAAATTATGGTTAAAGCTGGTCCTATAAAGATATTAACTGGACAAATTTCAAATAATACAGTTTCTTTTAAGGTATGATCTTCTTTTTCATAAAACCTAGCTATGCTGTACTTAATATACACTATAAATAAAAATTCATATTTTCATATAAAGTCTTATTTTTGAAAAATTAAAGTTCTAAACATGTATATATAATAATTTTGAAGGCATCAAATGAATAACTCACCAAAAGGTAAAATACTGTTGAAATTAACCTATCTATCTGTTAGAAATTTAACTGCTAACTTCTAAACTTCTGGTACCTTATGTTATGACAGAGTGTCAGGATAATCAGTAACATGAAACCTAAAAAATAATTATCTACCATCAGTATCAGCTCTAATTATACTGTACAGTTAACCAACAATAGAGGGATGCATATCTCCTCTGCACTTTAACTTCACTTCAGCCTACCTGTATACTGCATGTGTCAAAGATAAAAATCTATTTTAACCACTGGAAATAAGTCTTTTATAGATGGTGAGACCAAAAAAGCATAAATTCAGCAAAAACACAATAATTTATTCATTTGTTTCAATATTAATTTTTAATATATAAACATGTTCAAGATGTTCCCTTTCAGACAAAATACTGGTCTTCACTCTTGCATGTCCTTCATCCTAAAACTGTGCCTCTCTTATAAAGCTCTATGCTCAAATTACCTACATGTGCATGTAGAACACTGTGCATGATTGGTATTAAATATTTAAAACTATCATTAGATTAGTACATTCATTTGCTTAATAACTAATGTGGAGTTCAAACTAGTCTAGGCCCAATTTTTTCTAGAGAGACATATAAATGTAATGTATGCTAGGTGCTATATATACAATGTATATATAACAGTATTTCATATGCCTGGTTTCTGTAAATTAGCCATAGTGGATGATTCAACAGATACATGGAAAAGTTAATTATAGAATTATTTATATATATGCAAATATGAAAATTACAAATTAATTCATTCATTTTCTGTGGATTTTTTTTATGAACTTCCTACATGTACATGTTATTTGTACTGTGCATCTTGTATTTTAATAATGTGGAACTGTCTTATTCATAATGTTTTTGACTTAATCATTAATTTTGCTGTACAAGTTGTCATATCAAACTGCAAAGTCAATTTTTACATAGATTTTTTCTTCAAAAACATCAAATTGATGGCAAATTTTAAACGAATTTATTCTATTATCAACAGATAACATGCACTTATTCCAGATATATTATTGTAAGGAAAATGGGTGATTATAAATATATAATTATGATTCTGGCATTTGAACATTACTATTAATGATTTAGACATCTATAGAGAAAAATGCATTAGGTTTCAAAATCTGTGAAATAGAATAATTCATTTACCCTGTGTCATACAAATGAATATTGACACCATAATTTCATAGGCAACCTTTCATTTCTTTTCAATATATGATTGTACCCACAGGCACATGCTTCTATCCATGGGAAGATCCACTATCAAAGTATATTTCTCGTAAATATAAGTTGATAATGGATTTTCCACTGGATAGAAACAAGTGCCTGTGCCAGTACCTGTTTTATAATAGCCATGCAGCACCCTGCACCTCCCCCTAAATTACTGGCCTAAATCCGCCTCTGGATATTCTTCTCAATTGTTGAGTAGGGGGTACAGTTTATAATATGATCCACCAATCTCTTTTCTCTGTCCATGAATAAAGTTATTTATGGTACCACGGCTAGAATAAAGTATGATACTATATTGATAGTAAAGACTGTTTGAACTGCCCCTCCCCCTTTTTTTAATTTCTGGTACATTTTGCTATCAAGAAACAAGAATATTCTATAATAGTCCACTGACAATTAGACCTAACATCTATACAATTGAATTCTGTCATATGCAATGATTTAAAACAGTTTAATTCGTTTAAAATAAGTAATAATCATACCTGCATGGTTTGTTAGTGGTTTGTATGCTGGCGGTCGTCAACTTGGTAAACGTAAACAAAGTAGTTCGCATGTACGCACTTTTAGCAGAATAGTCAAATGGCTACAAATTGTCGTTAGATTAAAATTGAATCGTTAAAGTAAATACAACAGCTCGTTTTAAACAGCGGTTTATGCAATTAATGAAAAAATGTATGCGTGCGCTGCGGAAGACTACGGATTACAAGATCTTGTAATTGTGAGTACGGCTGATGGCAAGGGTGTTAAACGCAGGACTTCGGGAAAGTCCGGAGAGCCGACAACCTTGCTTCGGAAGTTGGTAACGATACATGTGGATTTACGTGGTAACAGCCACCAATGTGCACATCTCTGAGTCTGCGCTAAGTATAGATATATCGAGAATTTTATCACGGTGTTGTTTACAAAGCGAAAGAAGCACGTCATATTAGAATACAAACTTATCATCTTTAAATAATTTTCATCTCGGTACAATATCCCATTTAGATATGGTAGAAGGGACTTCATTCGTGGGTACTGGACTGGTATCCTGTAACTGAAACCATTGGATGACCAATTAATATTGGCTTGAGATGACAATTCTTGACTAACTTTCATGTTTTTGCCTATTATCACAAAAGCTGTATTAGATAGAAAGAAACTTTTTATAACAAAAATTATCAGCAATACAAGATCTACAAAAAACCCAAATGACTAAAACCAGAGGATGACTCCTAAAGAATTTAATGCCTTTAAATGTTATTTTTGACAAATTATCGTGTTTTGACAAGTATCTCGAAAAGTAAAATAGATATGTAAAAAATGTAAAGAGTAAAAACTATCACCAATACAAAAAATTATAACAAAATTACTGAACTCCAAGGCAAATTCAAAAAAAGGGAAGGCCATAAAAACTGACAAAATCAAACGCTATCAATCAACAGAATAAGTGAAAAACAACTGTTATATTACTGACTTGGTACAGGTATTTTTCGAAGAAAATGGTGTATTAAATCTGGTTTTATAGCTAGCTAAACCTCCCTCTTGTATGACAGATATTTATAATCCCGTAATATTGACAAAATTGGGTGCGCAACCCAAACGGATATAATAGGTTTATGTGACAATAATTGGGAGATACAAGCTCTACAAAAATAGATACTAAGTAGGTAGAAAGTAGAAAATATAAACAGCATACATTATCAGCCATACAAGATATACAAACATGCCAATATGACCAAATCATTGAATGAGTACTTATGGAGTTGTTTATGGTGGTGATGTGTATATTTTTTTTGCGTTTTGAATAAATTCTTTAGTAGACAGATAGATAGATGGATGGATGGATGGATGGATGGATGGATAGCTTTTTAACGTCCAGTGGCAAATTAAATGCAAAACGCGAACATGTTAGTACGATATGTATATAATATGCGTTGTACTAGACCAACACGCATTATTCTGACTCCGACCGGACCAGTCTTTGCTCTTACTTCTGAATGCAGAGTGTTAGTAGAAAAGCAACAAATACCGATCCCAAGTCTTTGGTTTGACCCGGCCTGGTTTCGAACCCACGACCTCCCGCACTCGAGGCGAACACGAGACAACCCATGCGGATGAGGCGAGGAGGACGAGTACTTCTGGAGTTGTTATGAGTTATGAATACGTTGTTTAAATGATGTTTATCTTTTGAGTTTAGAGTAATATTTTTAGTAGGTAGAGATAAACTGCAAACAGCAATTTCAACAAAAAAGATATTTTGGTCATGAATAATATGCTAGTCTATAATTTTGGAAAGTTGCCTTGTTGAAGAATGCACTTATGTCCAGATGCGAGAGACAGCCTCTAGTTTAAATTGAATTCACTCAATCGTAAAAAAATTAATTTTAATTTGACTTGCAATAATGATTTTTGTAGTCTAAGATTTGACTAAAATGACCCTCTCTAAATATAAACAGTCGCGACTGAAATTTGCTTGTGATATCGATTTCTGAAATAAAGTCCAGGAATAACATTACCGTATAATGAAATTGATTTTCATCTAATGTTAACTTACTGTTCCATGTTGGTATAAAAGTGGTTGATATCGCTTTACCTTTTGTAGTCATTGCATGGACCCATTGCAGAAAGTAAGTATAGTAGAAGTAAGTGAAAGAAAAGGAATTATTTATATTTTTAAAGGTGTTGTGTTATTATATCCGTTAGTTTTTTCATTTATTTTTTTTTAATAAATACGATATTTTGTTTTGTTTTGTTTATACAAAATTCACCATTATTTTCTTATTACAGAATGACTTCTGTCTTCTGGTTTATCTTCTTCGTGGTTTGTGTGGTGTGCGGGACTGTATTTTCCTTACCATGTCTAACAAACAAATCCAAGCAAGATTTTAACAAAGCCAGAAACGCATTGAAAAGCCTTGAAAATTACCTGAAAAGCCAAGCCAATTCTATCAAGTACAAGGTGCAGGCTTTAGACAAGGACATGACATTGATGGAAGAGGACTTCAAACGTGAGAGATTTTGTCTTATTCTTTTCAAATAGAGAAAGCTAATGTACACAAGATGTTTAATACATTTAATAAGAGAATTACAGAAATTAGAAATTAAAAAAAATATTCGGTATACTAACGTCCATTTCTCCATTTCCACTATAACTTTAGAATGTTTTGCCAGAAACTCACCCGAGTACTTGAACAAAATCTTCTTAATTTGCAATGCTTGTCAATTTTCTTTACTGCTTTGTGATATGAATTTGAAATGTCTTTCAGGGAGACAATGGATAAAGTACAACAAGCACTGTTATTATATTGGATATGACAGTGTTAGATGGACTGATGCAGAGGTAAGTTCACATCCATAATGTCATTATTGTGTTTCATTTCTTGTGGAAAAACTGTCTGTTTCGATATGGTAAATGAAAATCACTGAAAGAATATTTCATCCCAAAAATATTGTATCATTTTATTTCACCCAATTGTTTCCAATTGCAGATTAACTTTGTGCTTTTATTTATTCATGAAAATGGTGTGTAATAAACATTTTATAAAAAAATAAGAGAACTTAAAGATCACATTTGTTAAAGTATATTATTTGTGTAGAGAAAATGTAGAGAGATTGGTGGATATTTAGTGAAGATTGATGATTCATCAGAAAATAGTTGGATACGACAGCAATTAAATAAAAGCAGCAAAAGTAAGTCGAACATTTTAAGTTTATACATTTTGTGTAACAAAAATTTTATTAATAAATATAAATAAATGCATTATTTATAACTTGCACCATAGAGAAATAAATAAATAAACATGATAGACGTCCAAAAATAATTTAGTGCATTTTGAACAAAAACCAATGAATAGAGTCACTATGAAACAGACATCGTTCGACACCTGAAAACGATGAAGACCATTTGTGTACCTCTTGATACCTTTTGTTGTTTTGCGTTGTTTTGTTCCTGTCTCGTTGACATATATTCTCTTATCATCTTTTCTTATGCCCCCGCCACGGTGCAGGGTGCATTAAGTGTTCCCCTTGTCCGTCCGTCCGTACGTACGTACGTACGTTCTAAAATTAGTTTCCGTTCTCTAACTTTAGTTGGCTTCAACCGAATGTTATGTAAACTTATACACAATGCTTATTTCCATACAACACAGATCAGGTTTGAATTTGGGTGGCGTCACTTTTACAGTTCTCTAGTTATGTCCCTTTATAACGTTATATACAATCGGGGGCATTCTCCGTTTGTTTAGCAATCCTTAACTTCAAAATCCGTCTGAACGGTTGAAAAATTATAGAATTGGAATTTTCCAAGTGGTTTATAATGAACTATATACAGATATAATTACTGTTAGCTGCAAGTTTAAAAACCTTGACTTACCTAGTTCGAATTAGTGAATGGATTATGTGATGTCATGATAGTATTATTTACCGCAATAATTTTATGAAAAAAAAATCTTCTTAGATTCATATTGTTATTTTTAAGATTGGGGTATAGTAGACAAATAAACACGAACGAGTGCTTCGATCTTTTAAAAACGCATACAATACCGTTTGCATTGCGCAAGATGCATGAGTTTGGAATATCTTTCGTCAGTTACGCTCAATACCAAACAACTTGGGTAGCCAAAATGCATACAGTTGATGAATATTGTTGGTAAGGACATTTACGTTTCCTTTTATCTTTGTTTAGAAACACATTACTGGCTAGGGTCTACAGATGTTGTCAATGGTGATTGGAGATGGATATATGATCAAACTCAGTTAAGCTACAAGAACTTTATATCAGGAAGACCTTATCCAACCAGTAATTCAAAATCCTACACATTTAACTGTATTACGATATACTATAGTAATGGGAAATGGTACGAATTACCATGTAACTACGGCTATCCATATGTCTGTGAAAGTAATTTCTGTAAGTTCTATACAGTAGGTTATATTATAACAGATTATATTATTTGAAAGTTCTGATATTTATAGATTATCGATGGTTTTTCAAACGAGAGGGTGTTTCGAAGCTGCAATCTCATCGAAGGATCTTAAGGCGATCTGCAAGCTATAAGTAATATTTACATCGTAAATGTCCCCCGAAATCTAGGCCAAACTATAGTCTGTTGTTTTGAAAAACTTCAATAAAACGGTGTTTTCAGCTTTTGTTGTATTTAGGGGAAAGGTGTAAAGACTCTAAAAAAGGTTTGTATATATATTGAAGATGTGCACATCACTTCGTGTACAGAATTATAGAACTTTTGCATTCGTTTAGCTGCAACATTTTTGGTGTAGGGCACGCATTTAGTGAAGGGTTTTGTCGTAGACAGATTTCCGTCAACTTTTGATATCAGCAAAAGTTTTAAAATATTGTTTTTTCATTTTTTCTGATAAATGGACATTTTTATTTGCATTATGGACATTTTTATTTGCATTTTACATTTAGATACACAGTCTAAATTAAAGTTTTCAGACATCAATAACTTTGAAAACCTTCATGGATTTTTACGAAAGTTGGATACGTGCTGTTAAGAGACATTATTCAAAATTTCGAAAATAAAATATATTTATCTTTCAGTATCTTATTCCTAGTCAGGGGTAAATTTGCTTTAGAACAAAGTTTCTTCATGATCAAGTAATAACATCTGAAGAAAAGCTTTATTTAAAAACAAAATCCGTCTATTACTATTATCTGGACTTAGTTTATAGCAACCAACGTTACACTTTTACACTGCCAGCAGCAATCGCAGGCTAGACACAGGGTTCTGTGGAACACTTTACTGATTTTAATCATTTACATTTAGGACATTTTAGTGAACTTAATAAATTAATAGTGAACAGCATTCTTGCAGAGAACCTACCATAAAATGAAACAAAAGTTGAATTGGTAGACACAATTATTATTATTATAATAATGATTATTATCTGACACTGAGATTATAGTAATCTCAGTCTGACATCAGGTATTTTGCCTTCATTTTTCATTTTCTATTTCAGGTTTCCAATAGTAATGCAGATGTTTCCGCTACATGTAACACCAGATGACATATTCAATATAATTAAATAAAGTATCATTACTATGCATAATTCTGTTTAGATTTTACGAACTTATAATAACTCCCCTCGTATGACTCATATAGAATAATAAGGAAATATGGGATAAGTTTTGTTCGAAAAATTAACAATGAAACATCATCTTAAAAAACATGCCCGCAATAAAAGATGAATGGTTGGTGTCTAAGCATGTTTTCATTATAGGTACCCTGTTTTCCAAAACAATTTAAACCTGTGTGGGATTATGCTAACATGGTTTCCAGTCTCCAACAAAACTATGCCAAAACATTTGTCTCTGTACAAATGGTAAACTGTTTATGTTATGCCACTTTAAATGAAGTAATGAAATCGAACCAGAAAAGCAAATTGAAAAGAAGTGATACATGTACCGAAATCAAGACATATTTCATACACTTAGTTGGCATTGTCAGTTCGTTCGAGTCTGGCTATCCCTTTGGCATCTTCCGCCTCTCTTTTTGAACATTACATCTCCCAATTTTTGTATATTTCTTATAATTGTTTTGGTCAAATTTTGAGAATGAAAATGGTTAGGATTATTTGAAGTTTTACATGCACATCAATAGTTGTATTTGAGTATATTGACGAAAAGGCAGAACAACATATTGAATAATTACATACCCTATCAAACATAAAACGTCTTGGAAAAACAAAAAGCCAAACTTGAGATTTTACCAAGAAACCAAAAATTAAAAAAAATAATACACTGTCTTTTTTTGGTAACTGTGACCTTAACCTTCGACAAATTTACATCAAAATCAATAGGCTTTAAACTTTCCTAAGTATCATATAAAATTGATCAAAGTTCAACAAGTGAAAAAAATCATATTTATTCCCAGTCTATTTAAGAAGCTATGAACTTGGCATTAGACCTAAAATTTATAGATTCCTTCCATGATATATAAGTTTCATTTGTAAACCTACAAAAGAATGTCAGCATCATTCAGAAACAATGTTATCCAAAAACATTCTATATTTAGAACGAGCAACCTGGAACTTTGATCTCTTAACCCCAAAATCAAAAGACCATTTTAACATAATGAACTGTTTACAAAACTATAATTTTTTCAAAATTCTAAGGATTTTCAACCCCAGGAATAGACTGACTTAACTGTAGTTGGCAAAACATTTCGGAATTATTTGGTACTTAATGCTCTTTAAATTCGTTCTTTATTTTGGCTTTTTAAATTTTTGACTCGAGCGTCACTGATGAGTCTTTTGTAGACGAAACGTACGTCTCGCGTACAAAATTTTAATCCTTGTATCTATGATGAGTTTATTGTATAAAAATCATTTTCATCAAGCAAGGAAATACAAAATTTTATTCAGAAAGCATTTGTTTCTGACCAGATGAATAAAGGGACAACTACATGCTCGAGCATAAAAAATCTTGGTCTGGTTGATCCATGTTTTCCAGGATATTGTTGCATTTCTAAACTAGAACAAATGTGCACATGCTGAAATGTCTCGCCTGTCTTACTAATCATGATTGATTTTATGTTGATAGTCCTAACGATAAAGTTTTACTACAAGTATCACATACACTTAACATTATCAATGATCCGTGAAAATGAGGTCAAGGACAGATAAACCTAGCCAGACAGACATGTACACCTTAAAATCATTCCATACATCAAATATAGATGACCATATTGCTTATAGTATCTAAGAAACTGACTTAACTAGAAAAACTTAACATGTACCAATGAACCATGCATGTGAGGTCAAGGTCAGACGAACCCTACCAGACAGACATGTTCACATTACAATCATATCCTACACAACATATAGTTGATCTATTGCTTATATTGTCTTAAAAGAGGACCTAACAACTGAAATTTATCATTGACCAATGAACCATGAAAATAAGTTTAATGTCAGATGAAACCTGCCAGACTGACATGTACCCCTTACACTCATTCCATACAACACATATAATGGACCTACTGCTTATCTGAGAAATGGACCTAAACACGTAACTTTAACCTTGATCACTGATCCATGAAATGAGGTCGAGGTCATGTGAAATCTGTCTGATGGACATGTAGACGATGCAAGGAACCCATGTACCAAATATACTTATCATATTATTTATAATAAGCGAGAAATTCACCTGACAAAAAAAAACTATATTTTTTTTCAACCAGTCGCTGAACCATGAAAAATGAAGTCAAGGACAATGAACATATGACAGACGGAAACTTCGAAACATAAGGTATCTGCATACAAGATATAAAGCATCCAGGTCTTCTACCTTCTGAAATATAAAGCTTTATACAAATAGTTTACGCCGCTTCTGTCGCCGGATTGTAATCACTTTGTCTCGTATACTGAGACTTTCGTCGCAGGCGAGACAAAAATTATATGCATGCTGAAAAGCACAATTTTGAAACCTTTGTTTAGAATGATTATATTCTCATTTTATATAAATTTAAGTCAAGGTCAGGTCCCACATTGAACTAACAATGTTTAAGGTCTAATCATTCTTCGGAAATGGATAATAATTGCATGAGGCATGACTCAAATATAAAGAGACATTACAAAGATATGTCAAATTTACTATTAGTATGAATGCATAGGAACACTTTTTGAACTACTGGATGGATACTATCAGGATCTTTTTTACTAAACTTCGTATAAGTGACCATGATCTTGAAATAGAAAATGGTCGTTACATTAAAATTCCTCGAGAACAAAGACTGTGCAAAACCTGCAAAGTCATCGAAGATGAATTTCGTTTCATTCTGAATTGCAAGGTAAATCAGAATATCAGACAAAATCTATCTAATGATATACAATTAGATGATGAACATTTCATTCGTTTCCCTGATGAAAAAAAAATTATTTTATATATCAAAACCCGCTTTCTTTAGACATGTTAGAATTATTGGCTTCTTGATTAAAAGGTCATTAGAACTGAGGACAGAGGTCTCATTGTAACATGGCTATTGAATTTTGTAATATTGTAAATTTATCTCATATTTGTTTGGTTTTTTTTGGATACTGTTTTGTTTTTATTTTGTTTTTTATTGTTTGTTTAAATTTGTATTGCAACAAACAAAATGACAATAATAAAAAAATAAAATTGAAAAAAATATATAAACAAGTAAATAGCTGGCACTTTCATCTGATGCTCCTCAAACTGAGGATACTAGTATACTTTGAGGGACAAATAAACATGCACTACCATTGCTAATTTTCACCTGCATTAAGTGTTACAATTCATAGTGGGATACAATCACAAAACCAATTGGAAAAAATGTATTTTTAGGAGCAGTGACCTTACTTTTTTACCTATTGACCTCTGAATCAATAGGCTTCTTTTCATTCCAAATATCTTCTATTTGTATAAGTTTCATTTTATAAGGAAACTCAAGGTACCAGCCTAAAACCGTACTTCCAAATGTTTTGTAAATATGACCTTGACCTTTGAGTGGCTTTCACCAAAATATCAATAGACTTCTTTCCCTTCCATATATATTCCATCTGTAAGTTTCATTCAAATTACACAAAGGATACTAAAGTTACCACTCGGTAACCATTTGTTTCGGGCACACGGATGGACAGAGGGAAAAAGCAATTATGATTTTTTTCAGGGAATATAATAAAGGAAGGACACGATTTAACCCTCGTGCTGCTGGAGGAACACATGTGTCCACACTGACTGTGATGGAGGTACACATATGTCCATATCTTTAATTTATGCAAGCACCTCATCATTATTGTATTTCTTTCAAATAAAACACAGAAAACAAAGAATATTTTTTCCATAGCTATCTTTTAGATATTTAAAAAAACAATCAGAATGAATTCTCCTCTTGTTTACCGTTTAATCCCTTTCCTTTGTTTATATTTAATTTAAACTATCAATCACTACTACAAGTCAAACGTACTAATATCTTTATTTTATATATGCCTAACAGTTCTTGATATTTTCTCATAAAAATCCACCAATCAAAATTCAGAGTTATACATGAGAATTGGTTAAGCAAGGGATTCAAACAATTTTTTGTATATTTTCAATGACACATTTTCTATTGGAGAAAGATATCTAAAATTAGAAATCATAACTTTAGTACCTTCATCAGCCAATTCAGTATGTAATAATATAAATTTTCCAGATGCTTCAATTATTTTTCCAAGATATTCATATGTTAAGACCTTTTCTAGTTTAAAACAATAAAAGTAAAAAACATATTTATTAAATATATAATTATATTCATCTTGGTAAGTTGACAATGATCAAATATCTCGTAAATGTCCCCTCTTATCAACCATATATTTTCTTGTTTGTCATGTCACGATGTAGGGTGAGTATCCCGAGGGTATATAACTTTATGTATAAGAGGTACTCAACTTTCTCTTCACGATAAGTTCGTTACAAATTTTCAGAATTTTTTCTCTCAAAATAAGGTTTCCAGGAACAGAAATGCAAGTTAATGCTTTTAACAGACCAATCTCTTATCTTAACGTGTTTTTTTTCGGCATTTATATATATATGCGTCTTAAAAATCCAAGTGTATTTGCACCCACCAAAAAACAGTTGTCGTGTGAATTTTTGCTTCATACTATGATTTGTGTATGAATAGGTACAAAACATACAAAACAACTTTTATTGTATAACTGCATTACACTTTAAATGACCATAGAAACAGGTGTAAACAATCCAAAAATGCCAATTTAGTGATTTTTATAATTAAGACTTCCATTTCTATAGTTAAATTTCAACTGGATGGATCTATCCGACAGATAGCAATCTAACCAGCTTAGATCTTGAGACAGACGTCGAATTTATGTTGACGGAAACCTGTGGTGAATAATCGTAATTTGTTACGATGACACTGCTTTTTAGACGACATATAAATTCAGCGTGTAGAACGCCACAAGAGGGGGAGGAAGCTGTGTTTGACATACAATCGAGGTAAATAAAAGTGCATAATTTTCTTTCTTTCGAATTTTTAGTGCGAGATCCTATGTTGCACGGAAGGTACCAATTAATTATCAATCTCCAGCTA